ATGATCATGAATTATATTAAAATTAAAATAAATCTTTAGTAAAAATGTTTTTAAAAAACATTGGGGAGGTTACTTTTATTTAGATAGGAGTAAGTCGTTATATTTTTATCTTAAATACATCTACATTTCCCAAAACAACTGCACCTTTTTTATAAACCCAAATAGATAAATAGATTTATTTTAGTTAAAGTATGAGATAAGAACTATTTTTCTTTTCTTGTAACATTTTTCAGGATACCTATTTAAAAAAGAAACTACTTGTATATAATTGGTTTTAATTAATTATTATTATTATATCATATTGAAATCGCATAAAATAATTTACCAACACCACAAAACTATTAATAGAATGCTGTACTATAAAATGGTTTCATACATATTATTCTATAATACCTATTGATATTAAGTATGTTTATTAGTACGGTAGTTTATAGTTTATAGATTATAGACATTATATACATTAGCCATTATAGTAATTTATTGTGATCATTATTGTTATTGTACTCATATTAGATCGACTAATGATATTTAATTTTTACGCATAATGTATATTTGACTTTTTGTTGAAAAATTAGTACGTATTTTAAACACACATACTTCACTGTCCTTGAATATTATTTATAAATGAATTAATTCCGTTATAAAAATTAATTTTTTTTCGTCTATTAAATTAACCATTTTCATTCTGTTTCGTAAACAACGTAAACTCGTTTTTATCACCTCAATTACGATCTGGCAACAATGTTTAAAAGATTTAAGTTTAAAGTTTAAAGAATCGGATTAACGGGTTAAAGCTTTTTATTTTTTCTATAAAATTGTTTTTAGGTTTAATACGTTTTTGATGTGTATATTAAGCACCATCTGCATTACTTATGAATTTACGATAGGTACAATAAACTTTCTACCTAGGCTTACGATTGAATGAAGTGTGTTGTGTGTATCATATTACTATATTAGTGATATTTATAATAATATTTCATATTATTATGTTAAAATGCAATATAAAAATACTGAATTCATCAAAAATAAAATATTATTCTATGATTATTATGTGCAATAGATTAGCTTCATATTATCGAACGTGTTATAAGTTATAAACTCATAAAATATTAACCACATCATTATATAATTTAATAATKTATTACCCTCGCCGTAAACAGTAGTTAAATAGGTAGTTAACWATCCAAATAAAAGGAACTGAACAATATTATAATTTATTTGTTACTTTTCTTAATAATTGAAGTGAATTTATAATTATTATTGTAAAAAATCTATCTGGCTAGATAGTATTTCTAAAACCAAAAAATAATAATTTTTAAGTGCATAGAACTCAGTGGCATTGGTGAATTACGTTTGTACTTATTTTTTCCCGTACAATKTCAGCTGGCTTATCGACAATGTTGACAAAATGAAATGAAGGTCAAAATATTAACAAATAATTAATTTGATTTTCGTAAACGAAATCAACGAAAGATAGATTCAGTGAAAATGTCATTGATGCCCATTGAAAACGATTTTTTTAGTTTAATTCAATTAAATTTAGAAACACGAATTACCTATAATTTCTTTATGGTTTTGGTTCCTTATCATTGTGATAAAATAAAGCTTACAAAAATCATACCCATGTTATTTAATTACATTTTTAACTTCCTTTTAGTGATGGAATTTTTAGATGGGTAATTRAGTAACTAAAAATTATTTTATTTTGAATAAAGTTCAGTACCATAGTTTTAAAGCATTTTATACTTATTTTTCACTTACAAATAACTGCATATTTCAATAACATTCCTCCCCATTATTGTTCGCTAAATATATATTTAATTTCAAGGTATCCGAATAAAATAAAATATATCTGAGCTAAAACTTTATGATAAAAACTTATTTTGTGTTCTTCGTACTGTCTAATAATAATTGTATTGCAAAAACTGGTTTTAACTAGCTGTAGAGTAGAATTATTGTATATGTATGTAACATAATTATCCTTTCGTCTTTCGCACTCATACTTTCACCCGCTTTTTCACGTGAAACATTAGTAATACGCAACAAATAAAAATGTGTACGTACTCTAATAGTAATAATAATAATAATAATACGCATTCAATTATTTTCACGAATCCACCATGTATCTAACCGTATTGAGTTTTTCGTACAAAATTTGACGAGTGTATTTTTGATTTTTCCTAGGATTTTTCTTAAAAGCAATAAGATATTAATATGACTTGAACATTGAAATATCTTTTCAARGTTTTTGACTGACGTTAGCTACTTCGCGAAGAAAAATTTTATTATAATGTATTGGGTTTCGCATAGGCAATATATTKATATTGGTAATTAGATAATAATATTTGTTCATTGTTTTCGTTCTCAATTCTACGATTGCTTCTACATAAATTCTCAAAAATCTATTATTGCCTCCGTAATTTTTATTTAATATTAATGCTCTATTATTATTATTGGTTACTCCAAAATGGCATAACTTGAATAAATACAATTAATACACAAGGCAAGGCTTAAATATTTTGTCTACGTTGAGGACAAGGTCAGGACCAATTGTATGACAAAAAGTGAAAGTTTCGCTACTACCRCTGCCACTGCCATACTATTTTTTATATATTTATATATACTATATATACTATTGCTGCTGTTACAGACTAAGAGTTTGGTATTTGGGTCATACACGTCAATAGACCAGCTCTCTCACAGAGCTACCTGTGTGAAGCCTGAGAATGACCTACCAATAACAATTTGACATCCATTATTATTATTATTAATACACATATTTATTAATATGTCAAACATTTAACAATATTTTATTAACTACTAATGACGTGTCYCCCTCGTCTAATGCAGAGATAATATTATTTTAAAACCCGATGCGATGAAAACAAACAGATACGGTTGGTATTTGTTGTACRTTTAACCAAAATCAATTTAATAATTTTAAAAAGTAATACCATTGATTATAAATACTAGTATTTATAATCAATGGTAATACCTATAATATGATATTATAATGGATAGAGTTAMATGATAAACTCATATTATAGTGTTAAATATTTATATTTATTTAGCTAAACTAGACATAGTATGTAACTATATAACTACGGTCACCGAGAAAATAATATTAAAACATTCCTCGGTTTCGGTTTGTTATGTTATAAATAAACAAAAATATAATTATAGTTTCGCGCGTCATCTACACTATATTTTAAATAAGGTAAAATGTTCGTAATTCGTGTCTCAGAAGATATCAGCGYTCTGTTTGTATTATTTTTCTGCCCCACGCGCATAATTTTTTTTTATGTTTTTGAATAGTCATAGATGAAAAYCACCCATTACAAAATCGCTAGATACTAAAATTTTTTAATCATTTAAGGAATCACTCTTTGRTGTGTCTAAATATTGTCTCAAAACAATTTATACATGATTTAAATTTACGAAATTAATTTTTGATTTTGAAAGTCGAATACTAAATCAAACAATAATTATATATAAAACCGATATGTCATACCCTCAAAAACGCTTAATATTATTATTATTATTTTTTTTTTGTAAGGAGAACCCACGGCAACATAGGCTATTGGGTGTGGGGTGGTACGGTAGGTGTTATTTTTGTAGGTTTTTAAGTGGGTAGGTTTGTAACACGTGTTTGTGTATGTGTGGCAAGGATATGTTGCTAAAAATCTCGGGTGGTCACCCATCCGGGAGCTAGCAACTGCGGCCGGTACGTACGCTCAGTGCGTTTCCGCAGATTGAGCGTACGACCGCGCCTCACCAAGCCAGGCTCAAAATTATTATTCTTTATAATTTTGGAACTAGGTGGTTTTACTCTGAGATTACTCAAAAATCTTAAAAAACGATTTGAGGCAAAGCTGTTTTTTCTATGTTGCGCCTTGCGCATGAGTCTGAGATTAAAAACAAATATGAAATATTGCACTGACATTCTCTTAACATATACATTTGACTGTATAGAGTAATTATACATTTTTAACTAAGTGATTATTTATTAATAAAAAAAAAAAAAAAAAATTAATTATTATAATAATAATTACAGAAATAATTATTGGTTATTTTAATATTTTTCTAATCTTATTAAAAATTTACATTAGTTAAATCTAAATGGTATGATATGTGCATTCTACACATACCTGTGATTAAAAATGAATTTACTATGATTTTAATCATAAATGTATTAAGTTATAACAGTATTGCTCAATTATTGATTTATCATTTCCTTGTTGTTTACTATTGTTTAAGCTTATAGTTAATATAAATAAGATAGATATTCAGCTATTTATTAAAAGAATGTTGATTTAATAATAAATAATTATCAGATATTCTTGTTTTTATGGAGTAAAATTTAAATGTATCATTCTTCTGAGGCTTTGAACATAAAACAAATATGAACTCCTTAAATCTTTTGCTCTTAATTTATTATACTTCTTATTTCCTTTTAATTTTAATTTATAAGTTATAACCCAACTTTAATTTAATTTTAGTATAATCCATTCATTATTTATATAACAAACACAATTCAGATATTTTAATTAAATTAAATATATCTATGAGTAAATTTTAAATATAATTAATATATATTTTTTAGGGTAACTCAGAAAACCTTCCAAAACCTAGAATACAATTTAAGGGCAATGAAGGTGTAAGTATTAATTTTTGAACTAATTAACTATTAAAGAAATAAGTTTTATATTTATAATTATTATTTTAGCAATTATGCGTACCGAGCATATCAAAAAATTATACATTTGACTTTAGTTTATCCAATACAACAGACACTGCTGCTCCTCGAAGTAGTTTTGAATGTATTCGTCAAAATACGTCTAGGTATTTTATAAAAAAAAATCAAATATACACCTATTATTATAATTATGATAATGATCAAAATATTTACTATTTTATTTATTTATAGATCATTAGAATATGTTGGTACCTTGAATAGACATATACGAGTACTTGCAAATGATGATGTATATGAAGCTACTAGACATAGAATGGTTGCTRTTGAAGAATTACACAAGAAATCATGGTATAGTTGCTATTTATTTTAAAATATATTTCTAATTTTTTCACTTATAATTTTATATTTTTTGGATATGAAATATTTATTCTAGTGTAATAATAAATAATATCATCAAAATGTATTATAAAAACAACTAARATTAAAATTTCAYAATTTGTATTATTAAAAATAAAAGGTTGATTTTGGATTTACAAAAAAAAAAGGATAAAATAGCCAATAGAAGATATTTAATTTGCATGTTTCTTAAATTAAAATGTATAGCTATAATTAGACTTTTTTCTTTGTTTACAGTACACGGGAAATTGAACTYGACAGCAAATCAGCTCTTAGTCGCAAGATACGAAAAAATCCTGCTCAAATAAGAGCTAGCCGTCATAATAATAATTCTTATAATAATGTTAATATTACAAATAACGTTCCAAAACCTATAATTTCCAAACCTATACCCCCGCATATCCCTTCACCAGCCAATCATGCATCAGATATTAGCAAAAAACCATTAAGAGATAGAATTATCCATCTTTTAGCATTAAGGCCATACAAAAAACCAGAATTAATTAGTATTTTAAATAGAGGTTTGTTCAAATTGTTAGTGTGTTTTACATGTTTGTGTAAATTACTAAATTTATGTTTTTTAGATGGTTTGAAAGATAAAGATAGAACACAGATAATGTCAGTTCTTAGTCATATAGCAATATCAAAGGATAATGCATACTATCTATTAAGGCATGTTTGGAATGATGTTCAAGAAGACTGGCCATTTTATAGCAGTCAAGATCTTATTGTATTAAAACGGTAAATACAATTGTATATTTATTTTATTTCTKAGTGGTTCAACAGTTTCACTATTATTATTAATTTTAAAAAAATACAAATATTTTTAACTAAGAAATATTTGAAAAGTTGATTCATATTCATATTTGTTTTACAAATAAAAGCACAGTTTCAAAGAAATTTAAATATGATCAAATGAAATGCAAAATGTATGTTCTATGTTTTGGACAGTTGTACTATTCTCTGATTTTTACTTATCTAAAAGTACTACATTCTAGTATTATAATATAAATATTCAAAACGAGTGAGGGAGTAATTTAAAAAATAATTGCAATATTCCAAATATATTTCATTGAAATGTATGATAAGAATGGTTTGTATATAACAATTATTATTACAAGTTAACTTCTTAAAATACTATATGATATTTTAAACTCTGTTGTATTATTTATTTATTATGTCATTATAAATATAATAATTTTCTTCTCTRATTACAATAAAATCTCAAAATAATTTAATACTGAATATTATGTCATATATTTCTGGCACTTGAAACATTTTATACTTTAACATTCTATGCCCAATCACTTAATTATTATTTTAATTTTTAATAATATTCAGTAGGTACCTAATTATTGAGAAAAAAGGAGAAATAACTTTTTTCTTTTAATCTGAAGTCTGTACAATTTACAGTATAATTTTTTGTGCTATAACAATACTTTTATATCAAAAAACATTTTAATATTTAGACGAAAGCCTCAAAATTTAACACCTCCTGGATTAAGTGATACTGGAAGCTCTGGCAGCAGTGAACAATCCCCAAGTAGCACCGTTCCCAATAGTCCTCCTAATAATGTTCATGGTAACAAAAGACCTGGTTACTACAATAGTGCAGATGGTTTCCAGACGAAAAAATTGCGAGTTTCACATTTCAAACGACCATCACCTGAGAAAAAATTATTATCAAATAGTCCTCCACCAATTGTGTCTAGTACTCAATCAACTATACGATCACCTACTCATGCACCTTCTCATACCAATCCAATACCAAAATATATTCAGTAAGTATACTATCAAGATAAAGTATTATTCTTTAATAAGTACTAAAACTGTTATTTTGTTTAATTTAAATATATTCCATCTGTTTACGAAATGAAAACAATAGTTTTTATTATATAAACTTTCAAAATGTTTTTTTTTCTATTTTCAGAGATTTTGTACGAATAACAAACAAGGAGCAAAAGAAACAATATAAATCAGAATTCATGAAATGTCATAAAGAATACAAACACCTGGCTGAAATTATGGATCCTGTTCGAAATAAATTTGCTAAGCTAAAAGATCGTATGTTACTTTATCCTAAAGGTTCAAATGAGTATAAGGTATAAATTAATTTATTGCTCTACATTTATTTGTTGATAATATAAATATATTTTTAGATTTTAGAAAACCAAATATTACAAGAATATAATGAAAGAAAACATGATGATAAATATCAAGCGGCTAAAACACGTTTTGACTACCTTCATAACAAATTGTCTCATATTAAAGATCTGGTGCACGACTATGATAAAAACAATCCAGTGTTGATATGTTGATATGAGCGTAATGAAAACTTTTAATGATTTATTGTTTTTTTTTTTTGTAAGGGGGGCTTGGTATTCAAATTTAAGATCTTTTAAACTGACCGTTAAAATCATGAATGTGTTAAAACTTAGCCAGAAATATTGATTTTATTTTATTTTTGTTTGTATTAAAGTTTAACACTAAAGATCAAAATTGTTTATCACTCAAGTGCTTGTTTTCTTATTTTGGATGAGCTTGAATATGGCAGCTATATACACCATGTAACTAATTGGTTTCCTATTGGCTGTTTGAAAACATTCATTATATTGTAAACTTAAATTTAGGCATATGTCTATTGTCTATGTACGACATGTATCCATTTATATGCCATATGATTGGTTTTTATTATCTTGGTGTTGCATATTATGCAAAAATTAACTTTTTTCAATTACATTTATTGTATAAATGTCTGATGATAATTATTATCAATTTGATATTGAAATGAATACATATTGTGTAGCAAGTTTAAATGTTTTATTTTATTTTTATTATTATGTTATAAATATTGTTTTTTATTTTTATGATTAAAAACAAAATCTAATTCTCACAAGCAGTGAGAACTTAGTATAAATCTTAATGTTTTGAAACTATTAAATTTAGGTTTAAACATGGTATACAATTTTGAATTTAATTTAATTTTTGTAGGATTTAGTCATTAATATTTATTTATAAAAAAATTTACTAATTTATTTTATTATAAATCCATAAACTTAAAAAAAAATCAATAATATAGTTGATTTTTTAATTTAAGAACCAACAAAAACAAATTTTAGAAACAAATGAATATAATTTACATGAAGATAACTATATTKTTTCGTATAACTATATTATAAATATTTATGCGAAAAAAAATAAAAACTAATGTCATGAATGCAAAACAAAATATTCTCGATTAAATTTTGTGTTTTAATCTTTGAGTGTTCAATGACTTAGTTAATAACAATAGTGATGTGCTTAAATAAGAAAAACATTTATGATCAGTGGTGTAGGCTGTTTAACCATCCCTTCCCCCATTGATTTTTTTCCTTCTAATAAATGTATTATTTATGTACGAAAACTGTAAAAAACTTGGTTAAATTTATGTTCAAACCCCTACCCTCATTTAATATTCKTGACTGTACCACTGTTTATAATATTAATAAATTAGTAAATACATATAATTATTTTAGTTAGGGTTTTACCTTATTTTTATTATTTTAAATAAACATTAATTTAACAAAMATCAACCATTTAAATATTGTAATTTTTTGTAACAAGTAATAACATTTAAACTTGCTATGTCAAAAAAAATTATTTATAGTACAATTTGGGAAGCTCATTCATTAAATTAAATGCACAGTAATAAAATATYAACCAAGACTTGTATTTGTTAGGGTTTTACATTATTATTATTTTTTAACACTGTGATATCTAGAATGTTTTGCCCTAAATAAAAATTATTTAAAGACTGAAATTTGGACCATATAACCGTATATTTTTTTATCATCAATAAACATTTATAAGTGGAAAAAATGCATCTCAAATTTTTTGCTCGGTGACGAAAAGTATGTTATCATAATATATTAATATGTGTATGCCGAGTGACATACATTGGTCAGGCATTAGATTAATTAATAATTAGAAATTATAATAATGATAAGGTTATACGTTACATTTAAATATAATTGTTAATGTAAAATGTATAGAGATGTACACATTGACATCTGCAACTTATGWACTTCAGCTTTAATAAATCTATTATTACGATTTTGTATGACAAAAACTAATAGATTTTAGACCTCAAAATCCTCTTAAATGGCATCTTGATTTATACATTAGACATTAGTAATACTTTTAAATAACTTTATTATTCAAAGAAATTTGAACCTTTCTTACACATGAACCACAATTACAACTTGCTCATTTAAACGTTTTTTTAATAGAATAGCTTAAGTTTTACAATATATGTTTTTATTACTATTTTCAATTTCTGTACGTCAGGCATACAACTAAAATTAGTAACATTAAGTGTGATCAGAAGTCAGAAATAGTATTTTAGGTATGAGCCTGTTTCTTAGATATAAATCTAAACTAGTACGTTGAGATACACTCCAAGGAAAATGTTTTTTCAGAATAACAATTCTCAATCGAGATTTGTGAGTAGAAATTCTATCTTACTAAAAGAAGAAGTGTCACATAAATATTTATTTTATAGATCATTATGTAAGATTAAAACGGTTAAATAACTAATTTTGCATATTTTTCATTTCATTAGTTTTCTTTGTAGAAATGTGGATCCAAAAACGCATAGAAGAAATTGGGATACATTTCAATTTATTAAACAGTTTGATAAATTGAAATGTAGCTCATTCTATAAAATTTGGTTTTATGTTTTACTAAAAACTTATAAAGGTCTTTAAATAATAAAATTAATGTTGCTAATAATCTAAAAATCTGCTTTTTAATTAACATGTAAAGATTTATATGGGTTTTTTGAATGACTAATTTTTAAAACACTGCTATATTTTAGTTGTATAAATTTCAAAATATATTCTACAGGTGGACAATTATATTTTAGGTGTTATTTAAACATGTATCAAGGCTAGATATTACAAGTTAACGGTTCATTGAATAATTTTATAAAATTACACCAGACATACATTGATAAACTATAATTTTGATTTACATACTTTAAAATATAATATTATCAAAATCAGAAGTATTATAAGTTATACACTATTTAGAAAAGATATCATTACTATATTATTGAACACATACACTTTAAAAATTTAACAATTTTTTAATAATAATTTAATAATTCATTTAAAAAATAACTAAATTTACACTAAAACTTTTAAAGTTTACTGACATTTTATGGTAATTACAAATATATTTTATAGTTTAAAATAAAACTTAAATGATTAGGTAGCTTAAAATACTGGTTATTTAATTAAATGTTAAAAATATTACTAACTCCAATTCAATAAAATAGATATTATGTAAAATTAAAAAATTAAAAAAAATACATTTGTTTATATGGGTCTGTATCTAACACATACAATTTAAGCTTTATATTATATATAAACTAAAACTAAGTGTTTTTATTAATTTAATTTGAATTACATTTTTTTGTATAATATTCTATGCTTCTAGTAGTTCTATACTTTAAACAAATATTCAAAGCAGCTCGCCCATCTTCAGTTCTAAAGTCTGTAATATGGTCTGATACAAATAGTGTAATAATATTTGCCATAAGATTGATTTTTGAAATTTTCTTCATCAGCTTATTCTTTCTCCTATACAATTCAGAACACTTAATTCGMCAAGAATAGATTTGTTATGATAATKTTAAGTTACGAATCATCTTGTAAATTATCTAGCTTAGAAATAAACTATAATGATTATAATAAACACATAATTCARTTGAAACTATATCTACATYGACGACTTTCAATACTACCATGAAGTTTTTTCATGATAAAATGGAATACAACACAAAATATTTATAATTTTTTAACAACATGCATAGTTATAGAACTTAATAAATTATATAACTATGTATTATGTGATAGCAATATAGGATGGTGCAGGGATGAATATATTAACGTATTACTCACTGTGTAGAAAAGGTAAATATTAAATGCGAAAACCATTTTAATTATAATAAACACTAATAACATTTATTTTCAATCTATTTAACTCACTTGTTGGTATTGGTTTCATTTAGTAGAGTGATGTTTGATACATCAACACTGTTCAAAACATTTGCATAAACCTTAAATGAACTTATGTATGAAGTAAAACTAGTATAAGGATCCGCAGAAATATTTTTTATACTCTTATTAGTTTCGATTAAGCTCTGTAAATGATCTTTAAGAAGTCTAAAAAGAAGTAATATACATTAATAACCATTCCAATAAAATCAAATAATGAAATTAATAWGCATTACTTTAAAAAAAAATGGTCTTTGTCATTGTAATTTAAATTTGTCTTTAGACGAGTTGCATACATATTCATGGAATAAATACCATAAGTACATGCATATTCTAAAAGGTTAAGTTCCAGCATAATGAAAGATTGAAGATCATTAAATGCATACTGATATTCCGATTGAATATCTTTAGACACATATGCCGTTTGAGAGTTRAGGTCTGAAAAACATAATATACACTAATAAGTATTTGGTATTAATATAAAACTCACTATATTTTCTCAATTAGATAAACTGAAATAATGGACCTAAATGCGGATTATTCTCTAACAAATGAATCTGATTAATGGTAAATACAAAATAGTACATAAACTTACCGATATCATATTTAGCACGCAAGAAAAAATATCTAGATTTCAATAAATCAAGTAAATCAACTGCTATATCTATGTCTTCAGTTACTTTTTCCAATTCTGAACTCATAACGCTTTTGGAGATTTCAAATCTGCAAAACAAAATAATTTACTAACAAAACTATTGCAGTCTTAAGGGATCAAAGTAAAACTATCAATACATTAACAATAAATAAAGAAAACAATGGCTATAAGTACCCATTAAAAATAGTATGACACAATCATACAAACTAAGAACATAATAATTGATCATAATTTATTAAAATTATAATCATTATTAGGTAGTACTTACATAGTTAACTGTTACGTCAGAGAAAGAAGTATAATAGATTAGTAAATTTTATTAATTTATTATTGTTACAATAGACATGTTAACTAAAGAGTTAATAACTCATGGAGAAGTATTGCAGTAATGACTAATTAACTAATAATTTGTTTAATTGTTTATTTATTATTATTTTTCACAGTGAATGGAAAATATTGGCAATACACTTACAAAAAAAAAAAACTTAACAAAATACAAAATGTATTAAATATACTACACAGAGAACAGAGAACACAGTAAGTTGTAACTTGTTATAGATGGCAGATGCATACTTAACTTATTACGTCTTGATGCCTTGAGCCCTTGAATTGTCGGTTTTTTTCAAAGATAAAGTATGCGATAAGATTTTTTGAATTTTGGCACGACATACCAACCTATGAAATTGAAACAGTTTAAAAGGAGATAATACAACAATATTAATAAATGAACTACAGTTTGGTCTAATCAGTCTAATGAAAAATATTGTAAGGCATCTAAACTCTAAAGTAAAAGTAGTAGTAGTAACTAAAAAGAAGTACTAATAAAGTGCTCTGGTGCTCTATGATATAAATTAGTACACGAAATGATTAATCGAAGAAAAGGAGAATTCAAATTTGAAAAACAAGTGGTTAAAATATYTCCACGGGACACAAGGACAGTCCGGTCAGTCCGTGTCTAGTCCCAATGCAATTGTATTATAAAGTTACTTTATTAAAGTATAAATTTAAAAACCTCTGTYTCTATGGAATAAAAAAGTTTCAAGAATTTGAAAAATAATATAGTTATATATTCCAAATATCTAAATTTGAATAAATGCATTATAAATTAAAACAATAAATTGCGGTGGGCATGCTTGGTGAATCATCCTGTATGACCGTATGGCGTATACAATAATATATTTTTGAAATGTATTTTATATTCGCTGAACAAAATTGTCAATTATATAATTATAATCTCTCTAGAATCTAGATTATAGTACTGTCATATATTATTCTGTGGTACTGTTCTGTAATTATAGATACTAACTCGGCAGTCGGCAGATCTCTATATCTAGAATTATAGAACCTCTTTTCTATGAATCCTCGGTTATTTCCTAAGATCCTAAGATCATATTCTTCTGTTATCAGTGAATTAGTCCAATGTTTTGCTTATAATCGCACCGGGACTTGTTTACCACAGAATATATAGATATTATGTATGTATATCTGCGTTGTTTACCTTTACTCTTCACGAGCCTACAAATGCCATAGATCCGGTGGCAAGTATTACTGTTGCGGAGCCACCACTGTAAATGTTGTTTTTATCATGATTTAGCCATGGTTTTTGCTACTTTTTTTTACTAGTTTTATTACTCTAAGGTTTTTACCTTCGACCATATTAGCTTATATTATGGTCGAAGGTTTTTACGCATTGACATATTAATTGTCTATGTATATTAATATGTCTATGTTTTTACGTCTACGTCTGTGATAAGATAACATTCAAATAATTACCGCCTGAATTTAAATATTATAATAATCATAATAAAATTGAGTATTGTTATTTGTATAACTTTAATCTTTATATTCATCTAAACATATTTTTTTTTMAATGATTAATACAAGAATCATAGTAGTAGTAGTTATCATTAGGTATACCACGTAATATTCTATTAGGACAATATAAATCAACACACAATCAGGAAATATGCAATCGTATTGGATTATTAAATTATAATGATGTGACGAATATTGCAAAGCAATTTAATCTTAACGAACCTTTTCCTAAATTACTTAATGGAGATTCTAAAAATATTGCAAGTTTTGTCTTAAAGAACAACAATTCAATACTTTTTTACAAAGAAGAAGGAATCGAAGATAATCAATTTCCAACATTAAAAAAGACGATTTTGCATTAGGATACATGAATGAAAATCAAGAGCTTAATTTGAAACAAATTTAAAACACTATGGTTACAAAACAATATGTTTTGACGGTACGCATGGAACGAATCCAAATGATTTTATTTTACATACATTGTAAGTAACAGATTTAGACTCCGAAGGCTACCCAGTTGCCTTTTTACTAACYAATAGAAACGACGAAGTGGTAATTAGTGTTCTGCTTGAAAAAATCAAAGCTGTACTGTGTCAYCAAAAACAATTATGTCAGATATGCAGAGTTCATATTTCAACGGTTGGATAAAAAAAATGGGTCCCGTGAAAATAAAAATTTGTCTAAAATAAAAAATAAAGAAAAGAAAGTTATCGTCATTAAAATGCTTTATGATCTATGACTGAATTAGATATAGGAACATTTAAAAACAAACTACACACTTTTCTGTCAAACAACGATGACGATCTTCAATGTTTTTTGGATTATTTTTTTAAATATTATGCCCAAAATCAACAGTTTTGGGCATACTGTTACAGGCAGAATGCTGGCTGTAAAATAACACAAATATGAACTTAGAAAGTTTCCATARAGTTCTAAAARAAAAAAWTATGTGTAGATTAAAAGTCAAAAGCGTGTACGATTGTTTGTGCTACTTGGAGAAATATTTAATCATTTATTTATTTATTTATTTTAATTCGGGCCGCAGCCCAAAGTACAGAAAATAAATTTACATATTATAAGTGAATAGTAGACATAACAATTAAAATAGAAAAAGAAATGAGACATAAGAAAAGAATTTCAAAACTAAACTTAAAAACTAAAAGACGGATCCTCATTAGCAATACGCATCATTCTATTTAGTGGTTTGTTTCGTGAATAATTTGCCATACATAGCGGAATACTGAAAGGATAGGAAGAACGGACCTGGACACGAGGAATTTTAAAGTTTACTTTGGATAGAAGTTCAGGACAGTCGATCGACCCATTTATGAGTTTGACTAGGAAGACCTTGTTAATGGTGATACGTCT